CATCAAGAGCCCTGGTAATGAACACTGGAAAACAAACAAATTAACTGGGGGCATGTCATATGGGTAATAGTAATCCCGACCAAAACAAAGTTAATGTTGTCAGTCTCAAAAAACTATTAAGACAAAGTTAATAATAAATCCATCGAAAGAAACCAGCCATGTTTGGTGGTCTGTTAAATGATCTGATCCAGTACATTTCCATGTCTGTTAAATTAAACTCCAATACTGTACTGCAAAAAATTATCATCACGCATGCTGAGGGACCGACGACCCACATTTCTATTCTATTCAGTCTGGAATCTTACAAAGAAAATTCCCATACAAACAAAGGTCATAATTTTTGTTTATTTTTAAAAACTATTTAAAAAAAGACCTTCATTATTTTTCGAAAATCTCCAATATGGGGGCCCTGGATCGTCTCTACAACTACAGAACAACATCTTTCTCCTACATTATTTGCTACATTAATCCGCGGAATTTTTGGGATATGCTGCATTATCAACTTCACCAACTAGACAGATGAGATGGGAGAGAAATGTACATAAGCTATAAGTCAAAAAAAAAAAAAAAGAAGAAGAAGAAGAAGAAGAAAGAAAAATGTACAGAAGATAATTTACCTAGACAGAGAGATTTAAGTTAATTAATGGCACGATGTCCTCTCCTGCTTTTTATTTCAGACACAGCCGTATGCTGCTAGGGGTTTTCGAGCAATCACATCATTTGATTCTAATTGGATCTTAAACAATTGCATAATTTACTAGTGTCGACCCCAAAATTAAAACTGATCAAGTGGTCCTTACTCTTTCATCCCCAAAAAAAGCAGACAATTAAGTGAGTGATTGATTAATTTTAATACTTTCCAGTTATTTAACAAATTATGGAAGCAGATAATCCATCCAAAATGACTAATCAGATTGAAAGCGGACACATAACAAGAGTGGAACGACCATCCACTATTGAACTCTGCATCGTTCCTTATCCACACAGGGGAAGTCATTTTCTTCTGTTTTCTTCTCTTGGATTTATTTTAGGTTTACATCTCTGTCCGGTCAAAGAATCTTCCGTGTCACAGTAATATGTATGATTGGATATAAAATGAGTCAATATTAACTGATTAGTACTTCAATAATAGTTAAATTGTCTACTAATTAGAGAGATCTAATTGCTTTAACACTGAAAATTATTGTGACTCATATGATAAGAAGAAAAAGTGCAGAAAATGATATAAACTTTGTCACTTTTCCCATTTAAGGATATAACATTTTTAAGTTTTTAAATTAAGTTATAAATTTTTACTTATATATATATATAAGGATATAAATTTTATCTTGTTTTAATTAAAATTTGCAGTTCACCACTTCATCATTATCGCCATCTAATAAGTCTTTAAATGAAACAAAAAGAACAAAAAATTTGTATTTTATTTAAAAAAATTTATTATCTAATTTAAAAACTCAAAAAATATATATTTTTAAATAAAAATAATAATAAAATTCGTATTCTTACATATACTTTTTCTACACATAACAAGGATAAAAACTCCTTAACACTCGATCGCCTGACCATGAAATATATATAACCGATAATATGCTTGTTCAGGGATCTAGGGCAACACTAGAGGAGATGGGATCATTTGCGGCTATGCAAATGCCGCTTTTCTGTATTTTGTTATTCGAAACAGGTAGCTAGTCTCAATCAGGGAAAGCCAGAGAGGCTGGAGTTGTTTATTAGATCACTGTCAATGCCTCCTAGACAATCTTAATTACATTAGCCAAACGGGTAATAACAATTTATCAGGATTTGTACACCTAAGATTTGGGCCATTTGGGTCTGGCTATAACTTTATTTCTAGTCATACTCAGATAACTTAATATCTTTGTTACAAAGAGATGAGTAGGATGATGTGATACAGTGGCATTACCATATTAAAACGTTTGAGGAAAAAAAAAAAAACATATTTTTAAGGGGGAATGAAACCATAAAAGTAACCACTTGCTCGAAATCAATTCAGTCATCAATGACGCTCTCCAAACTCATCCTATATATGTTTATTAGGAGCTGGTGTAATTTAATGAATAATTAGCCAGTTTTTTGTTATATCACGTTTGTACACAAATTAATTAAGTTTCTGCACCACAATTTGTCCCTTAACACACTTTTAAATTCATAGATTAAAATGGGTGTTTTTTTTTTCTTGATTTGATGGAAAGGTCAATTAAATTAAATAAATTTTAAAATCAAACAATTACTTGGAAATTAAGTAGTACCTTAGGTCACTTGGAATAAGTAAATAGTAAGACAGATTACTTTAATAAATTAAAATAAACCAGAATGTCTATCCTTTATCCCAAAAGGTAGGAGAATTATATTTAATTATTATTATTTTGTTGTTGTTGTTACGGGAGAGGGGGAGTTTTTAATTTTATTTTTTAACTAATGGAAAGCACCAAAGGTACATTTGGTTGGATGTGTGTTCAATTTTTTTTCTTTAAATAAAAGAATGAAAAAAAAGAAAGAAAAGCAACCTTCATGACTCATGACAAAGTTCGACTGCCTGGAGATGATGGAGAAAGGGCAGAGAAACTAATCACTATTTAATTAGTACAGTGGCATATAATTGCAGGACAAAGACACTTAGATCAGGACAAGTGAGAGAAAACTTCCTGGAAACGATGGAGAAAATATATTGAGACAGAACAGATTTTAACGAAATTAGTATATTTCGAAACCATACGTTTAGTACTTAATTGGGTTGCCTTTAGCCTT